GTAGCTACTAGCCAATACAAAATAAGCAAAATAGCTTGAAAATCTTCACCAAACTTGGTAAACGAAAGGATAATCCCAATTGCAAAACAGGGTAAAGATCAAGCCAAAGTCAAAGACCAGGGCTAAATCTTCCAAAAAAACATTCAAGCTTAACGGCGTGGCCAATCTTCATGACACTATGAGTGTATTCCGGTAAAGACAGGATGAAACTTATTGATTTTCAGGAGAAGTCAAATTTCAAGCTAGACTAAGGGTTAAAATCAAGAAACAGACTTAACAGCATGATGAATCATAATCGAAATTGGTTCATCGAATCTATCGAGAGGAGGGTGATCCCTCAAATTACGAAGTAAATGGGTCCGAGTAATCGTCTCGCCAACATGGCCATACACAGGCTTAACAGCTTGAGTAATCTTTATCAAAATTGGTACACTTAATAAAAAAAATTGGTATAATTAAAACAGGGGACGACAAGAATTGACTCTAAGATTGGTCGGTCAAGATAGGGTCGCTTAAGACCTTGACATTACAGATTCGATATTAAGGTTGAAGTTATCTGTAATGCAAAAACAAACCATTTAAGTTATGTCAGGATGCGAGGGGATGTTTTGATTTGCTATGAACCCTTTCTCCAAAATACCCCAATCACAAAACCAAGGAACGTGACAAACAAAGTCTGCTCAAAGCTAGTGAGACTTGTCGGGCCATAATCAATGTACCCATATGGTTATCTTTTTACGCCGTAGAATCAATAGATCATGTGCAGGTATTTACATTCTTTTTGGTGTGTTCTATTTGCATAGCTCCCGTGCAGCTAGATAATTCACATAGCTCCCGTGCAGCTAGATAATTCAATCGATTTTATCATTGAGGAATTGTGGATGCAAACTTTATGGGAAGACCGGCGGTCGGACAGATGTACCACGTGATCCATATATATCTAGTAATGCTTCCGTTCGAGAGGTTGTAATAGAATATAGAATAACTGAATAATCTCTCGTTCGATTGCATCCTGAACATGAATGAAATATTTGCCACTGAATGTATAACAACCAACAATCAATCAATCTCGTTCGATTGAAAGGATTTCAACTAAGTTTAGGTATATTTCCATAAAGGAAAAATAAACCTCTTTAGAATATCAAAATGTTTGATTATAACTGTATAAACCCAACCGAACCACAGCATTGTAACAATTTTGTTGCAATATATTGGTTTTTTTTTACTTTTTTGGGTACAGACACAAGTTTAACAAACAAAAGATTGATTAATTATGCAGAAACGGAATACACAAATGTAACGGTATAGCAGCTAAGCAGGTCGTGAATAATTTAAGCAGTCAATAAATCAGTATTAGTCTTGTCCTGTATGTGCTATCTAAACTAGACTGAATCTGTCAAATTTCAAGTTCGCACATCACTGGCGGATCCAAGATTTACAAAAAATAGGTGTGGTAAGGAGGACCCGTCGAGAAAAAATCTAGTAATTGGAATCAAAACAAAATGCCAATCAAATTTACAATAGTTTATAAAACCTCTATTTTTAGGCGAATACCTATAATATAAATAAGAGGTTTTTTTTATGAAATGAAGGACAGGGGTGTTTAAAAGAGAGTTAGTTTGCCCCTGATGTTGGAATCCTTTTAAAATTATAAATAGATCGTACGATATAGCCTGGTCACTTAATTTAGAAAAAGCAGGTGTGATGTTACTGTGACGTCATAATTAACATATTTGACAAAGAATGGCTATTTACAGACAGTTGGGCATTAGATCGCAAGGTCGCTTTTAAAAATGCCTCTTGTCACCAGGTCACTTTTAGGCAAATGTATTTAAAATAAGAAGTCAGGTCGCAAGGTCGCCCGCCGAAACCCCTTAAGTCGGAGATCGGATTTAACCATGTTGGAGCCACGCTTTTCTTGATATACAGTCTTACATTCAAAAGCATTTGATTGTCATAATAATTTTTGAATATGCCTTCATATGGCGAAATATCTTCCTGGGAAAAGGCATAATCTAAATAACTGACTTGTTTCGCTTAAAACACAAGTTATTACTTCTGAGAAAGGGGTGTATAACGACCTCGAAAACTACCCATGAGAGTTGCACGACAGGCAAAACAGTTATTTCGTCACCCTGGGGACACAGTTTTATAACTTACTATAAAAGTATATGAAATGGGTCTTCTTTGTTGTTGAAAGGCACACGGTGGCCTGTAATTATTCAGTCATTTGCCCTTTGGTCTTTAATTAATAGTTTTCTCATTGACAACCATACCGCATCCTTTTGTATGTATTTATATTATCCAAAGGCTGACAAAGACTAAGTAAAACAAAATGCCAATATATTATCAATGAAATCTGGTCACGTAGAATTATTTAAATTACACAATCTGTTCACAAAGAATGCCATTTGATAGAATTGTTATTATATTATGATTTTCGAATTGTCGCATTTTCGGGGGAGTTGTCCTATCATACCTTCGCCTCTTGAAAATACACAAAAAGGTCTATGTTAAAGATTTATTTTCAATATTTCGAAGTCGATAGCCGGTTTGACATATTATCTTCATAATTGTCGCAAGGTCTTAACAAATCTGTACAGCTGAAAGTCAATTTTTATAGCTGAAAGACAATTTTGATCCAAGACTTTTTAGAAAAGACAACCCATGAATGATCGTACATCGGCCAGTGATCTTAAAAAAAAGTAAAAAAATATTCTAAATTTTAAATGAACCCCCCTTTTTTTGACGATCAATGCATTTGAATGGGGACATATACCCCTCTTTGTCCTCTTTAACCCCCCCCCCCCCCCCCCCCCCTTTATGAATGGCTGGATCCGCCCCTGATATTAAATCACATCATTGAATCGCTGAATGTTTTTCGAAGCCATGTATACCTTTTAAGTCCTTTCCGTCTGTTGTAAAATTAAATGGATGAAGATCTGATCAAATGTATCATATGAATGCCAGTCTATATCTCAGCCCCTTAAAATTCTATGGTGAAAAAATGTCCGGAAGCAGTACATTTCCATTTTAAAAAATCCCGCCAATAAAACTTTGTTTCGTTGTTTATTTTTAAAATGACGTTTCCTGTTTTTGTCACCGCTATCAAAATGTTGTTCCATTTAATTATAGTGCTTGCATATCACCACACGTCACCGCTACACAGCACACTTGACACTGTTCGTTAAACTACTGGAAGCAGGTTTAACTATTTCTACTATAGTACGAGTTATTGCAATGAATAGCTTGTCAAATGGTTGATAAATAACTTGTTAATGTTATAAAACAAACAAGATCAAAGACAAAGTCAAAAATGTCAAAATCTGAAATCTATTATTACGATGCTTACAGTACAGAACCAATTAAAATGAAGGTATGGGTAGTTTACATTTACTATAAGATACCCAAATGACCTCTTGATTTTCCCTATATATATATCGAGCTAGTTTTTGGTTAGAAGTGTTCGTTTTATTTCGGATGTTCTACTTTTTGCTAAATTACGGCCATTGGACTTGGAATATTCTGGGGACTAATACATGATATATTGGTCCAAGGAATGTTTTTATGAAAATTGTACTTGTCCGGTATTTTCTAGTCGTCTTCTACAGTAGAGCTGTTTTTTTTTTAATTCATTATTATGGTGAGTTACCGTTCGAATTTGCGTTCCGCCCGACATCCGGGCTGGCGTACATTTCGTGTTTATTGTGGGTCTTATCGTAGATGGAGGCATTCAAGTCGTCCCGACGCATCTAGTTGAGTACTAGTAATATCATGCAAAAAGTCAGTAATCGATGAGCTGAAAACTAATATATAATCCTTATATGTATTTCCGTCACTGAAAACCTACAATATAAGCAATGTCAGGAAAAGTTGTCTGGTCATAATTATACATTAAAATCAATCTGTAGTAGGACCAATCTGAGACTACTATAGTCTTAGGACCAATAGACCTGTGACCGACAATCATTTTGTTATGCTAGTAGAAGCCTTTGACTGATTTGATAGCATGGTAGCTTACTGTGTAAGAAATCGGCTTTGGTCCCCGCTGGTAAAGTAAAAAAAAAATTACGAAGTCAATTATGCCCTACCATTTTTAGATATTAAACGTTCCAACATACTGTTCAATTTCTAAATCTTACAAAATCAAATAACCGCGCCAAAAAACTTTATCGACCTCCAAAGGTGAAGAGCTGTCATATATTATGTCAAATCAAATGTGCTAGGTAAAGATAATAACAACGCTTTTAATTTACGAGTATCTTTTTGTTCAAGTCTACGGTGATATCAGATAATGTGAATAATTAAGAACTCGATCATTTACATTTATGTGCAAATTGTGCTATCATGATTTGAAAAGGATATATATATATATACATTTCACCTGAATTAATATACAGGTAACAAGGTAAGATGTCAACTTTCCGCCATGTAAACACACACATACAATCGACATATATTTAAACCTAGGATAATTTTCTTTGTATTACGTCTAATACCATTCCGTTTATCAATAAACACAATTGAATTTCTTCAGACAAATCATGGATACAAATCCTTGGACAAATGATCATTAGAAAAAAACAATTTTATACTAACTTCGCAGTTATCGTCACGTTTTCTTTAAGTTAACTGTATGTATTTTTGTACGGGAAAATAGCTTGTACTGTCAAGGTGATTAAGGATATGAATGACATTCAAACGAACTCGGTCTTTCCTTGGCAACAGAAATATTTTTTAAAGGAATATTATCTAGTGCATGTATATTGCCCTCCAGGCAATATTAGCAAATTTTATTTAACCTCAAATTATAACATTAGATAATGTTTATAGATAATATAGCAGTTTATCCTTTAATACACCATTTTACATTAGTGTGATTTGTCATAGCATTTACCTTTATGTAGGATTTAGTGTGTGTACTGTGATATGTACTTTCTAGTTTGGGAGAGAGAATGAACGGGGAACGAAATTGTCACATTTACAATAATTTATCATAGGTAAAACGGATACAGGACTCATTGCAAACCATTAGAAACGTTAATACTGACAGTATGGCGAACACATCATCAGGAAAGGAAAAAGATAAAAAGAGCAAACGAAAACTCAAGGATAAGGAAAAAAAGGAAGCCGTTGCCTTGCTTGGTGGGGCAGGCAGTAAGCCACCTAAGGTATGTTCGTGACTGACATGCAGTGATTTGATTTCATGTTGATTGAGATGATAGTCTTAACCTTATAGTTTGTGATTGAATGTTTCATGTTGTAAAATGTTTGATTCGATTCTTCTTAAAAACGTAATAGTTCAGAGTTCTCTAAATCTTTTTACCCTGGTGGTCCTTGGAGAAAATCTGCTGGTCCTCACTATTATTTTTATTGCAAAATACCAAAATTGTGTCGGTCCTTTGTAAAATTTGGTGATGAAACCCTTCAGACAACCACTTTTCGAGAGCTCTGGTAGTTGGATGCCAAATTACAAAAATGTATGGCTTTTATTTGGGGATGGGGTGGGGATGAAATTTTCAACAACACAATCAAGTATCTTCTTATTTATAAATTATGTTGTAGTTATAACATATATATGTAATATTTGCTGTGATTCCTCTGAAAAACGTGGGTCTACTTTTATTAGGGGATGGGTAGTGGGTTGACTTTTCAAAACACAATCAAAGATACTGATTTTTGTCAATATCTGTTTTTAATGATAAATTATGTTGTGATATATTTGAATACTTTATATAATATTTCACGACCTTTTTCTTGCGTAATTCCATTTAAACGGCTTTATATTAGAATATATTACATAACTATTACATGTATATTTGGTTTTCTTTGTTGATGACATTTTATAGTTGATATGGGTTATGTATTATATATATGTTAAATAAAATTTTATACAGTTAGAATTCTGAAATAAAGTAGAAACTAGTGAAATCTAAACCTTTGTATAGTATAAATGGATAGTGACAAAAATGGGGTTGTTACTGAAGGGTTAGTTACACAGTAGTGAATATTTTCAGTTGTTAAAACCATCAAGTATGCGTCCAGAATGGCTATGTAATGTACAATGTATAGGATAAGGTGTTTCACATCGAACATGTATTGTTTTGCCAATTTCATCAGATAGAGACGAAAGGTGACATTGACAGCTATCAAAAATATGTCATTTCTAATTATAAAATTGCATGTTATGATTACATCTGATCGTAATGTGTCCACGGTACATGCAATGCAATATGTATGGTGGAATGTACACATATATAAGTGTGTTCTTCTACCAAGATGTTAAAAAGGGATAAAATGCTAAAGGACAGACATGAATTTTACGACTTATATTGACCTCGAACCATGCAATGGCCAGTCAGGACATTTAATATACCTACTATAGATATTCAAATTTAACATATGTTAAAGGTGAAAGATTATTACATACATGTTTTACTTCAGTTCACAACAAAATACTATATAGTGTCCCATGTTAGGGCCCTTGTGGCCAGCCTTTTTGTCGACTTATGTTATTGTTGCTGCACTCGGTTCTTATTTTGCCATATATAAAGTAGAACGAAATTGTGGATATGTATTGTACCCAGGAAAATGGGATTGATTGATTGCTGTTAGCTTAACGTTCAGTTGCAAATATTTCATAAATATTTGGGACGAGTAAAATAGGAATAAACCCAATATGTAGGTTCTGCTATGTTAGATGACAGGAACGGACGAACATTTTTGACTGCGATTAGAAAAAGGGGATATAGAGGAGGGTTGGGCGCCGGCAAACATGTTTAACCTCGCGCCATTGTGCCTTTCCCAAGTCAGGAGCCTGTAATTCGTTGGCTGTCGTTTGTTGCTGTTAATCAGATTTGTTTTTCGTTTATTGTTTTTTTAGATAAATCGGGTGGTTAGTTTTCTCGTTTGAATTGTTTTACATTTGTCAAGTTTGGGGCCTTTTATAGCCTGCTATGTGGTATGGTTTTTTTCTCATTGTTGAAAGCCGTACAGTGACCTATATTTGCTCACTTCTACGTCATTTGGTCTCTGGTGAAGAGTTGTCTCATTGGCAATCATAACACACTTCTTATTTTTGAATATAATGGATATATAGGATCATAAATTTTGCCATGAAAGACCCATCACCCCTAGGAATCAATGCCGGGGTTTATAAACGCGCATTCCAGCGGTATGGTTGAGATAAAAACAAATATAAATATTTTGTTGGCGTTATCCTCGATCGTTTCCAGTATTTTTTCAAATGTAAAACTTGCTTATAAATTTGTTAGATGTTTTGAAGACAAATATTCGTTATACAGATAATGAATTTTGCGGTGGTTAAATTCTGTGTTAAGTTTTGTCTGTTAAATTTCTATAACCTACTGTTGAATTATGTCAGTATTTTCTTATAGAAATAAGGTATATGTATCATAGTGTCAGTTATGGCGATAAATCTCCCCCTACCGGAACTTAATTACTCGAAAAATCAATCGGACAAAAGATACAGTCCGGTGCAACTTTTGATGAAGTTCTGATATCTAATCTTGTAGACACCATATACGGATTCTTTTTCTCCTGTCAATTACAAAACAAAACTTATTTGCGTCGTATTGTTTTCTCTTGACTCAACTCGAGTCCCACTGATTCTGGAACATTCAGGTCTAGAAATAACAATTCGGATGATATGAACAAGTTCCAAATAACATTTGGCTGAACTGAAATGTGATATTTGAAGTACTCACCTTCAATTTTGGTATATGATACATGTAATTTCATTCGGACGAAGAAATAGACAATGGATAATCAGGGATCTTTATTTCAAATGGTTACCGAAGATATGAGGTACAGATACTTATTTGGTTTGGGGGTAAGTTTATTGAAATCATGTACATTTGTAATCAACCTTTTTAGTTAATCTTTATCAATGATCCTTTAAAAGGAATAACGAATAAGAACCTGGCTGTACATGTATGTACCACGAGACTGATTTGAAAAAAAAACCCACACAGAAGTGTTCATTATTACACTTCACGGTAACTCTATCCGACAATTTGTCAGTTAAAACCACGATGAAAGGATTTTATTTTACAAAAATTAAAGTAGTAAAAATGAGTGATCCGAACTGAAATATTATGTGGGTTTTCGATGGCTTAACAAGGGTTAAATAATCAAAATTGCATCGTTTTAATGATGTACCTGGTCCAGTTGTATAGTTCATATTGACTGCTCTTTGATGTAAAATGATAAGTGATGTTGCAGAACCAGAAAGATTACCATACTGCACTGTTGGAATATATATCACTCCCTTTTGCACTTTTGTTTCGTGTAATTCACTTAATTTACTCATAAAATATTATCCCATCTTTAATGTAATACCAGCACGGTAATACATGTATATCAACATATACAGTTAGTTTAAGTTAGTACCCATCTCATACTGCCAGTTTTAAATCTTACATTATAATATATACTAATAGCCAAAACCCAACATAGACAACGAATCAGTAAGGAATTAAGTATATTTTGTCTTCAGTAAATTTTGACTTTTGGTCATCTTATTTAGTGTCTAAATAAATTTATAATACTCCTTAAAAGGAGTATTCAGGTTTGCAGCATTAACGTTGTCAATTGCAATTTTTGAAAAAAAGTACTGCAAAAGATGCCATATCACTCATGCTAGTTTATAAGTGTAATTTCAGCAAGAGAGTAACCCTACCATTGACAAAAAAACTAAAAATTACGTTTTTTAAATAATCAAGCCTTAACACGCCATCTTTACGCATATTTTGTAAACGAAGTACTGGTGATTGAAGGCATGTCAATTTCTGTTGACTCTTCTTGTAAAGCTTTATATATAGGATATAGGTTAAATCACCAATAATGGAATTTACGTATAGATTTAAATTTTTATAGTTGTTTAAAATTCCTTATTTCACGTATCGATATCAAAAATTACAAAATAAATTCTCCTCTGTCTTGCACAAGGAATCCCCAATCTTGTTGATAAAACAGTCATATTATTTATATCTTTAAATACTTTATGGTCCTTTTTTTGCAATTGTTTCTCTGGTTTTCACATGACAAAATTAAACTTCCATCATTCCAAACCCATGAAGAAACATTCCAATAATTAAATTCATTAGAGCTCTGACATAATGCCATCTTGAAACCAAGGGATTGAGGATAGCAATCTCGTTTTTGTCGCGTTTGTTAAAATATTTGTGTGAAATTGAAATCAATAAATGATAGGCACATCAAACTTGCTGTTGTGAATGATGAGTGCTGAACAAGGATGTAGAATTTTTACAATAGAAACCAAGATGGAACAGGTATAGTAGTTTCCTTTCCATATACATGCATGCAAGATGTATAGATGTTTTCTGTTTTCTTTGAGAAAAAAAAAACCATAAGATTGTTGAGACGATAAAAAGGAATGCATCCAGAAGCGTAAGAAGAAGCTGGCATGATCCCTTTTGAACTAAATGATGAAATGAAAAGATTTCACTGTGAAAGAAATTAATGGGAGAAATATATTCAATTTTGGTAAATGGTTGACATTTGAAGGAATGCATGTTTGAATAGAAAGAATTAGGTGACACTGCTTTGGAAGATTTAGGAAGCAATCGATAAAATTCTCATTTTGAAGAAAATATTTGAATATTTAATGTTGCAAAATAAATAACGGTGGTTAAGCGTTGTGTCGAAAATTAATTTGCTCCTTGTTTCAAGTTTCGAGCAACACATACGATTTATTGTACCATGATTGTAAACCATGATTGTAATAACAAATATATGGAAGAACATGATGTAGGCGAATATATTCTTCTGCAAAACACATCTGATGTAATGACTATTGTTGTCAAAGTTTAATGGCTGTATCGTTCATATGACTGGGTTAAATTCGAAAATGATGAATTAAAAGAGCCGGATGTAGGATATATATTAGTACATAAATAAGACAACCCTTAAACGCAATTAAACCAGAATAGATGGTTCAGACGGTTTCTCTACACAAGCTATTTAACTTTGCAACGCTACCACTCCCCCCTAAAAAAAAATAGAATTTGTATCTTCAAAATCAACATGCAACAATAGATGGATTATTGTATTCACAAAAACCGAAGAACATAGTAATCATCATACACGCACGAAAAATATTGTTGATAATAGGATATAGGAATGTTAT